TACAAAAGGGCATTTGGCGGTCCGCTGCTGAGATGCTTGACCAGGGCGGAGGCGGAAAGAGTGATCGCCGAAGTCCATGAGGGTGTCTGTGCAGCCCACCAAATGTCCAGGACACTCGCACAAAGGATCATCTTGCTAGGTTATTTCTGGCCTACAATGAACCAAGATTGTGAGAAGTATGTGCAAAGGTGCAAGACTTTCCAGGTGTTCTACAAGTTTCCGGGAAGGCCTGCGACATATTACCATCCGGTTTCCAATGTTATTCCATTCGCAAGGTTTGGGATGGACATCATTGGAGCCTTCCCCCAAGCACAAGGGAGGAAGAAGTATGTCATGATTGCTATCGACTACTTCACAAAATGGGTAGAGGCCGAGGCATAAGCAACCATCACAACCAAGTAGTGCCAGCGCTTCGTCTGGAAGAATATAATCACCAGGTTCGGGTCTCCTCGAAACATTGTGACGGACAACGGGCCTCAATTTCGGAATCCAGGGTTCACCAAATACTTGGAGGACTTCGGAATTACTCACAACAAGGCTTCCGTGGCCTACCCGCAAGGGAATGGTCAAATGGAGAATGTGAACCGCACAATAGTCGATGGGATTAAAAAGCGGTTGGGTGAGGCAGGAACAAATTGGCTAGAGGAGTTGCCACATATCATCTGGGCTTACCGAGTCACTTCGAGAAGGGCCACCGGGGAGACACCTTTCGTCCTTACTTATGGATGTGAGGCCAGACTACCCATTGAAACAAAGATAATGACCTTCCGGGAAAAGATCTATGAGGAGAAAGGGAATGAGGAGGACCATTTGGCAGAGTTGAACTTGTTGGAGGAAAGGCAGATGGTTGCTGAGGCTAAAATGATAGAGTACCAGCAAGCAGCCAAGGCTTACCATGATAACAAGGTAGGTCCTCGTTATTTCCAAGTCGGTGATGAGGTCCTGAGACGAAGGGAGGTCAGCAAACCGGGTGATGGTGGAAAGCTTGCAAAGAAATGGGAAGGTCCATATAGGGTCACAACAATATTACGCCCTGGGACATACAAGTTAGAAACAATGGAAGGTCGGGAGTTGGAAAGGTGCTGGAATTCCCACCACCTTAGAAAATTCTTCCGATAGACCAAATTGGCAAGGCATACATTTGTAATATCCCTTCAATGATAAATAAGAGATTTCTTCAATACTTGTGTTGCTGGGTCAGTAATACTAAACTAATGTCTTGATGTAAGAGGCAAGGTCAAAAAAAAAAAATAAAAAAAAAATAAACCCTTGAGATAGGGGCCTTGATGTTGAGGTATGGCCTTGAGATAGGCTGGGTCTGGAAGAGGACTCGCGTCCATACTTACATGGATCCCTACCAAATTTTCATTTGGTAGGGGCAAAAAGATGCCAAAGTAAAAAATGATTACCGTCTTGCATGAGCCATCCTTTGCGGATTGAAGGGTCTAGGGAAGACTAGAATTCACTTCAAACGCATAACATATGGACATGTAAGATTGGATGAGGGATGGTTCTCACCGGCATACCCCCACGTGGGAAGATTGGGTTGGCTAGGTCAACCTAATGATTAGAGAATGGCACATTAAAAAACTTAAAACCTGGAAGAGGGGCCCTGGAAGAAGGGTGTTGCCTGGAAGAGGGCTGAACCTTGGAGAGGGTTCGCGATCATAGGACATGGTCAAAATCTCCGAAGAAAGTTCGGGTCTTGATGTTGAGACTTGATGATTCCAAAACCGTTTCGGATTATTCGTTCGAAATTTGAGCAAGGTTGCTGTTAGGCATGACACCCAGGCCAGAGGGGGA